GCCCGGGCCCTTGGGGGTGCTGGAGCCGTCAGGGCCCGGTCGTGACGGGTCTGTCCGCCCCTCTCCCCCTGCAGCAACTGAAGCAGCAGCGGGACAAGCTGAGGCAGTACCAGAAGCGGATCAGTCTGAACCTGGAGAGGGAGCGGGCGCTGGCCAGGCAGCTGCTGAGAGACGGCAAGAAGGAGTGAGTGGGGCCTGGTGCTGGGCAGGAGCCTCACGGACGCGGGTGTTGCTGACCGGCGCAGGGGGTTACGGATTCTTCTTTCAGAAAGGGAGTTCCGCTTAAAGTTTTGTACTTACAAGTAGGAGGGACCACCGCGTCCCGTGGCTGGTGGCAGAACAGCTCTGCGAAAAGAGGTTCTGTTTCTGTTCCGCAGTGTCGGTGGGGTCCGTGTCAGCAGCCGGCTCTTACGTCTTGTTTCGAGGGTCTATCATGAGCCTTTTGTGCAAGGACTTAATTTTGCGTTGCTACAGCACAACTGGCCCGGTGAGGTCCTAACCCACACCAAATATACCTGAATTTTCAGGTACCAGACAGCAAATTTATGATTAACTTGCTCGTCTTTATTCTTAGCGGGCGCAGTTCAGAGTTGTCATTTAAACTACACGTGTTTTTTTCCTCTTTTGGAAAAAGCACAAAACAAATATGACTTTGATGTGATTCTTCTAGGCTTATTTGCTTTCATCTGTGCTGAGTTTCTCTCCTGTTTTCCTTCAGAAAAGCCATGCTCTTGCTAAAGAAGAAGCGTTACCAAGAGCAACTTCTAGATAAAACGGAAAACCAAATCAGCAACTTGGAGAGGATGGTAAGCAGGAATCGGTTGCTGCATGCTGCGAGTAGCCTGCTCTGTGCGCTCGGTAGAAGCCTTTTCTCTGGGGTGGGTGTTCGTTGGACTGCGTGGAATCGCATTTTACTGCCAAGCCCTAACAGGGGTTAGTCCTCTGTCCGAAGGGCAGACGTCTCTGAATTCGTACGTGTGCTGTGACTCTTCCCTAAAGAAACCAGTGGTGAGTATGTTTTGAGTCTGCACTGCAGGTTAGGTGTAACGTACGTGTTTGGTAAATTAGTAGAACTTTAGTCACGGTGTGGACGGCTGCAGTAGGAACTCCCTCGGGCTTGTCCCGTGCCTTGACTTTAGAAATGGACGTGTTTGTTCTGGGGTGGCCTTGGAAACTATGGGCTCACTTAGACTGTCAGCTAGACAGTCAGTTGAGGGGCTGTTGGATATGCTTTTGCAGCTGCCTGTGCTAAGGCTCATTGTGTGCGTGTTTCTTACGACTGGTCTCACTTAATCCTCTGTTCACTACAGGAAGGGCTCTCGACTGATTTCTCCTTGCAGTTTCTCTGGGGATCTTGGCAGTCTGTACCTGGCTAACGATGGGAACGGGACAGCCTGCGAGGTTTCCCCTTCTCCTTCCTGTTTCAGGTCCAGGATATTGAATTCACCCAGATTGAAATGAAAGTCATTGAGGGCCTGAAAATAGGCAATGAATGTCTGAACAAAATGCACCAGGTATGTGTGGCTGAGCACGCTTTTGCCTTGGACGAGGCAGAGTCCTGGCAGTTTGTAGCTGTCTCCCCGCAGACCTCACCCACACGTGGATTTTGGCTCTTTTCTTCAGGTTATGTCAATAGAAGAAGTAGAAAGAATAATAGGTGAAACCCAAGATGCTGTGGAATACCAGAGGGTACGTACTGCGTGTGAGTAGCCGTGAGCAGAGACTGCCCGCCATACAGAGTTTCTCTGGGGTGCGCTGTGTTCCCAGCCTTATTTAAGAGGCAATCAGATTGGGAATTAAATCTCAGTTGCCTGCAGAAAAATTAGCTTCGTTAGTTTTCCCAGTACCCCTTCACCCCGTGTCTACATTGCTCTCCCATGCGCACGTACTGTGCTACGAGTCACAGAGCTGCTTCTGCCGCACTGTTGTGGACTGGAATGTGTTCTTTCTTCTCTTTCATAGCAAATAGATGAGATACTGGCTGGCAGCCTGACCGAGGAAGATGAAGATGCCATTCTAGAAGAATTAAACGCTATTACTCAGGTAGGACTAACCTGATGTTCTTGTACTTACTTTTAATCCACATTTTCGGAAAGCTGTTTACAATAGGGGAGAAACTACCTTTTCCCTCACTCTCGATAGCTTATCTTACTCTGCCAGAGACCTCAATTACACCTGTTTGTGCCCAATTATTGTGTCGTCAAAGATCAAGCCAATCGCTCCACACACTGGGGTCATTTAGAAACGGGATGCTTTTAAGGGTTGCACTTTATTTGCTGTCTGTTACAGTCAGCTGATCTCTGTTCTTACCGCGTCCCTATTGCACTTTGCTAGATGAAGATCTCGAAAGTCCTGGATCGTGCTCAGATACAGGATTCAGTCTGGATCATCCCCACCCATCTCTGTGGTGCCTCGGGCTCTTCCAAATGCTGGCTTGGTTCCGCTGTAGGAAATGTGCAGCCAGTGGAGGTTGAGGTGGAGAGGATCTGCGACTAGTGTTGATTTGAGGAGACTCATAGCTAATACAGCGTCCTATTAAGTCTCCATAATAATAATTAAAAAAGCCTTGTGCTCATTTATTGGGCAGCACTGAAGGCCATAACCCTTCCTGCCATTCTGGGGCAGATGTCAGTTTGTATGTGAAATGTCTTCTGTTATTACTCTGTGGTGCAGGAGTCTGTGACCACCGCCTGGTACGTGGGGTGTGTGTCATGTGTCGTCTTTAATGTCCTTGCAGGAACAGATGGAGCTTCCAGAAGTTCCTTCTGAGCCACTCCCGGAAAAGATCCCAGGTATGCTTTCTCTGTATGCTCTGCAGCTTTGGTTCTCATCCTTCTTCTCAGTTCCATGCAATAGGAACTCTCCTATTGCATTGTCCTAGCAAATGTGACAGACTATAAACCTTCTGGTTTAAAGCCCTGCTGATCTGGGCTATGCAAGCTTCCCCCACGTGGCTCTGACAAATCCAGCTGACCCTTTACTGTAAGAGGACCCAAGGCTCTAGTCTCTTTGTTCAGTTGGCATCTAGTCATTCCTCTTGAAGAGTTCCTTCCTGTTACATCTGCTGTTCTTGAGTCATGCTGCGTACCTGCTGCCCCGAAACACCCAGCGTACGTTCCGTTTGAAGCTCTCCGAGGAACTCTGTCCTTGGCTTTCTGCTTGACCCCGACAAGTCTTTCTTGCCCCACACTCAAACTGGTCCCCTGCATGTCATCGCATCCTGCTGCTCCGCAGGAACAGGTGTTTGTGACCACAGATGCTGGCATTCACACTGCACAAAACTGGGTTTCACTGAGGTTTGACTCCTCGTAGCTCCTGTGACCTTGCTTCAGGTAACAACGGTGATTTAGGACCAGCTGGATGAGGATTCCTGAGGTCCACAATTCCACAACCGTTGGAGCGTGAGCTCAGCACAACTGAGGCTGCGTGCACGTTTGCTCCCGAGCGGTCCAAAACCTCAGCGGCAGGGTTTGTGCAGCTGGGTGCGAAGAGGGAAGTGGGGGAGAGCTCGTGCCCCAGGGTGACCAAACGGGCGCTGTTGGCCTGTTGCCGGTGAGGAAGGAGCCTTCGCAGAGCATTGCCAGACCTCTGTCCGTGCTGAAGAACTGAGGGTGGAGCCAGCCCTTGGAGACGAACGGAGAGGTAGAGCTGGACTCCAGCGGGTGCCAGATGGCAAACCAGTAAAGGGTGTCTCCTGGGACAGCAGAACACCGAACCGTCAGTCGCAGAAGCTGGACTTCCCTGCTCTTGCGAACCAGGAGCTGTAAGAAGCCGTTTCCTCTGTGTGGAATCTGCCCAGGAGAAACCTGGGATGTGGGGAATGGGGCTGGTTTCTTTTTTGTGCTTGTTTACTAGTAAACATGGATCAGATGTCATCTCTGTACATTGGCAGCGGGACGGCTGAACAAAATACAAGCTGCCCTTGCTGCACGCAGCCGATCGAGCCTCATTTAGAGTCATGTTGTCAGATTGAAGGGGCAAGGGGAAAAGCTTGTCCGAGAAATCGCTCGCCGCCCTGGATCTGTGTCGCTGGGCTGGTGGCTACTAAAGTTGTGTTGGGTACGTTCTGAAAGTGCTTCAGTTCAAGCACTGTGAAAGAGAGAGGCATACTGGATGTGTGGAGTTATTTATAACGAACTTTTATTAGTTCAGGTCCTGTGAAAGCATTTGTTGCTCTACGGAGGAGTGGATTTTGAGTCCTAGTTCCTCCACAGGAGATGACTGGAGATTATTTGCATTCTCTGTTTCTGTAACAAGTTTCTTTTTCTTCCACAGAAGCATCACCCGTCAAGAACAGGCCAAAACCAGAACTGGTGGCAGCATCTTAACTCCCACATCTGGGGATTCCCCCCCGTGACTTTCACCCAGGACAGTTTGCCATCCCAGCCTGTGCTGGGAACAAGCAATGCCTTGGCAGCATCCCAGCTGTGCTGGGCGGATGGTGGAGCAGGATTCCCTGTGCAGGGTGGGGAACCTCAGCTGATTATTGTTCTTGTATCAAGATTATTTTCTAGTGCTTTCTTTTTTTTGTAACTTAAATTCTAAACTCACTCAGCTGCGCTGTCTCGGGATTAAACAACAACTCTAAAAACTTCCAAAGCCAAATGCTTTTCTTAGGTTTGATTTCAGTGGTAAATCTGGCTTTGCTCTGACTGCAGTCCCCCCTCGAAGCGATTGTGTGTTTGAAACGGCTGTTCTGGGCACCGGGCTGGGTGAGAACGAGCCACGGCCCTCGGGAGCCCTGCAGACCACACCGGCGTCTGCACTGCTCTCGGTCCCTTTGCCCTTCCCCTTCTGGTTCTGTTTGTGAAGGGCTGTTGGTATCTCTCGTCCTGGTGTAAATCTGACTGGCTGGCATGTACGAGGCTCTCAAAGGGCACGGGCAGAGTGCAGGCAGCCTGAAAGAGGGCAGCAAGCCTGAGCTTCTGCAGGCAGTGACACTTTGTGCTACGGGTCGAAAAGGGTTCTGTCGGCCTTGTGTAAAACCAGCTTATGCATGAGTGTTTCGTTAGAGCAAAGTTCAGAGTGATTGCTTGGCTCTGTGCTCGCTGGCAGCGACGCTGATCGGGGGGGAAAGCCCAATCTCTGTGTGAGAGCTGGGCACGAGTCGGGGCAGTCGGCGAGGATTCCCGTGCAGATCCCGCTCTGGTGAGCTGTGGCGCCGAGTGAGCCCTGGGGTGACCAAAATCTGATGAGCCTCTTAAAATTACAGCAGGGAGTCTTCTGCCTACGTTACGAGCCAGCAGTTATCCCTCGTTGGCTCTGCAGCATCATCAGAGTTCACCTTTGCAACGTTCAGATGGGCTGAGATCAATTCTGCTGCCAGCTGCCGGCTCGCGTTCCGTGTTTCCCGGGGGGTCGGACACGGAAGGTCAGGCTGGGGTAAACGTGAGGCTCCTTCCGTAGCTCATGTGAGGCATGAAGCTTCTTAAATCAACACCCCAAAGACGCTGCTCAGTACGTAGAGAGGAGACCGGTTCCTTGTGACCCTGCACGGGGAGGACGGTCTGGTGCTTCTCGTGCTGCCGCGGGGCGCTCGGCCCGGCCCGGCGCGGGTGACGAGGTGCTTGGAAAGCTGCCTGGCCGGCCAGGTGGCAGGCAGATTTAGCTGTTCTTGGAAGCAGGCTTACTTGCCAGCTTGCAGATGCTCTTCAGGACATTGCAGATCTTTATTTATTATGTTCTTGAAGCCACAACCCTTAATCCCTGTTTCTGTGACAGCAGAAGGACCCGGAGGGTCCGTGGAGACCTTCACTGACTGCCTTGGGGTTGTGTGATCTGGTGCTAGACAACAACGAGGAATCCCAGAGACTGCTGCTCCGTATCATCTCCGTTCGTTACGTTCCAGAGACCGGCCGGGGCATCCTCATCCTCCCGTGAGGGGCAGGTCCTGGGGCTGAGCCCCCAAAGCGCTTTGGAGTTGCCCTGTGTTCAGTTCCACTCTCCCTCTTCATTACCGTTTCAGAACAAAGCTGGGGTCCCACAAGCCTCGGACCCCTGTTTGCCAAGCGGTGCAAACAAACCGCTTTCCCTGAACCTGGCGGAGGTTTAAACGGACGGGACAGGGCTGTATCCTGTTCACGCTCCTGTCATTTTTTTCCTATAGGCAAAACCCCGAGTTGCCACCCTGGCTGCCCTGCAACGCGCACTTGTTCCAGCAGAGAGAGCCTTGTCTTCGTCAGCACCGCGCTGTCTGCAGCGGGTTTGTGCAACGTTTTTCCTTCAAGGCTCCTTCAGTCGGTCGCTAGCCGGGTGTGGGTTTAATTTTGCCCTATTTAATTCATAATTCAGAGGAGTGAATGCTGGACTCTCCCCAGAAGGTCTCGAAGGGCCCTTTCCTGGGAGCACGGCTTTTGCTGCTGGCGCTTGGTGTGAGCCCTGTTAAGTGGGTTGGCACCCATCGCCGGGGACGAGCAGGGGGAGAGCACCGCAGTCCCTGCGCCCCGGGTTTCTCTGTCACGGACGTCCCGGCA